CGGGTGGATCCATCCACAATAGTATGGGCACAACGCAACAACAATGAGTTGATCCGAGACTAAGATGAGCGGGCAGATAGTTCTAGTCCTGCTATAAGCATAATGTTTGTAGTGATGAAGATGTTCTACACTCGTCAGGACACCAAGGACTTCTGGTAGGAGTCCTATACCACTTGCATGGATAAGCTCATAAGAGCCAAAGCTGCACAGCATAAGCTAAAGAAGCGTGTGCGCAAGCACAAAAAAGCAGCAAGTGAGGCTCGATGGGAAACTGATCAAGCTTACATAGCTTTGGGAAATCTCCACACCCAAATGGAGCAAGTTGATCAGCAGAGAGCTGCCGCCCAAGAGGCAAGAGTAGATGATCAGGCATCAGGCAGTGTTAGCAGGACTGTGGGAGCAGCTGGAGGCCACCCATGCTGAGGCATTCACAGCTATGCGCTAGTGAATCCTAGCAAACAACCGTGCAGCTATGGTTGAAGCAGAATGAGACAGGACCCAATCCTTGAACATGCAGTAGGACCGTGTTGAGAGGGACTTGCGTCAATAGCTTGCACAGTCCTAGAACATGGTGGTTGATCTTCAGCATGAGGTGCATTTCCTGAACAACCAACTGCACACAATCCTTAATGAGGAAGAAGAAGATCCAGAGATGTTGATCGAGAATGACGGTTGGGAGGAAGAAGTAGAGCTAGAGGATGATGACGATCCTATCTCTGACCTCGACAGCGAGCACGTGGAAGATTAGAGTCGCCTAGTGACTAGTTAAAGCGCTAGATGCATCCCTGTTATTTATGTAATGGACTTGTAGCTTGAAGTTTGGTATTCGTGATATGACTTTCGTGTAATATTGGCACTCTACATGTTGTTTCATGATGGGTTGAACTTTAATGAAATTCTAGTTTTGTTTTACTGGTGATTATGACATGTATGTTAACGCGTTGTGAGCCTGATAAGTGATCAAATTGGTGATATCATGTTGCGACAACGAATTGTTATGCCTCTATTTTATTGTATGAATTTAAGATTCTCTCTAGTAAATTTAGTTTGGCATGATTATACAATTCATCTGCAATCTCTTGACATCATTCAATAATCACTTATTGTTGCAACTTTGTAGATGACTCGCACTCGCGCTGGAGCCGGCAACAGCCAAGGTGGCAACGACGGTGACTTACCACCACCGCCACCACCGTCTACGAATGAATTCTTCACATAGTTCTTGGGTAGTCAGAGAACAATGGAGGAAACACTGTGCCTTATCACGCAGAACACTGCTCACGCCCATCCGCAACAACAGGGGTCGGAGCCAAACCAATACAGCTCTTTCAAGGATTTCCTAGACACCAAGCCTCCTATCTTCAAGGTGGCCGAAGAACCGCTTCAGGCAGATGAATGGCTAAACACAATCGAGCAAAAATTCCGTCTATTCAGTGTTACAAAACATCAGAAGGCAGAATATGCGTCCCATCAGCTGCAGGGACCGGCCAGAATATGGTGGACCCTTTTCTTGTCATCTCTACCTGCCAATTCTCAGGTCACATGGGAGCAATTTAAGTTAGCCTTTAGGGGACATCACATTCCCTCAGGGCTAATGCGCATGAAGGCAGCCGAGTTCATGCGACTCACACAAGGGACCAAGACCCTTATGGAGTACATGCATGCTTTCAATAATTTGTCATGTTATGCCCTAGGATTCATCAATATAGAGGAAAAGAAGATTGAAAGCTTTAAGAGAGGCCTTAACACTAAGCTGATGAAAACTATGTCCAACTCGAAGTGCACCACATACAATGAGTTCATCAGTGATGCCTTGACTCAAGAGAACCAGAACAATCTACATGTCACGACGAAGGGTAGCAAAAGAGCAGCTAAGGCAGCGCCTCAGGATCTTCCCAGTCTAGAACTCCAATGGCGGCTGGGCCATAGTTTGTCCACCCGCGCCCAAGTTCAGGCCTCCTCCACCAAAAGCCTAGGCCAACCAACCTCAGAAGGTGTTTCGTATAGCGTTCACCATTACCCTACCCAAGGGAAATAGAGGGCAAGGAAGCTCAGCAGGACCCAGGAGCAATCAACCATGCTTCAACTATAATCAGTTGGGTCATTGGGCCAAGGAATGCCCCCATCCTAAGAAGAACATCAATCAAAACTAGGGCAATCAGAGACAGGCAAATCCTAAAGCACGTCCTGGATACGTGCATTACATCGCTGTTGAAGAAGTTCCTGTAGGAGAGGTTGTCATAGCTGGTATGTTTCTTGTTAACAAACATCCCATCATTGTTTTATTTGATTCTAGAGATTCTCATTCATTTATGAGCCAAGCATTTGCATCTAAGTATGATAAAAAAGTAATTGAGGTTAACAAGGGTGGTTATAGTATAAGTTTGGCTAGGGTAAAAGCTTTAGTTTGGTTTTGGTGAATTGATGAAATCCTAAGTGCTAACCTAGTTTATCAAAGTGATCATGAGATAGGTAGCACATTCTAAGTGGTAAAGCAAATGAAGATCATGACATGATGATGGTGATGCCATGGTGATGATCAAGTGCTTGGACTTGAAAAGAAGAAAGAGAAAAAGAAAAGGCTCAAGGCAAAGGTATAAGTGGTAGGAGCCATTTCATTTCGGTGATCAAGACACTTAGCGAGTGTGATCATATTTATGTTCGATAGCCATACTATTAAGAGGGGTGAAACTCGTATCAAAATACGGTTATCAAAGTGCCACTAGATGCTCTAACTCATTGCATATGCATTTAGGATCTAGTGGAGTACTAACACCCTTGGAAATGTTTGTGAAAATATGCTAACACACATGCACAAAGGTGATACACATTGTGTTTAGCACTTGGGAGCGAGGGTTCGAAACTTCACCGGCTGAGTGCCACTAGCGCCCTGTACAGAAAAGATAGGGTTTCACAGAGTGCATCAGACGTTGGTCATGTGGTGACCGGACTTTGGGAAGCAGCATCCGGTCAATTATAAAAGAAGATGGTACTCTCGGATTGTGACCAGACGTAGGTGATCGGACTCTGGCTGAACACTATTCAGCGTCTGGTCATGTTGATGTGGCGGTGCACACAGAAGAGGGAGAGTGATCGGACAAGGGGCGAGTCTGGTCGGGCGTGACCGGACGCATCCGGTCGCGACTGGAACCGTACTGGAAGTGACCAGACGCTGGGGTCCTGCGTCTGGTCATGATCAAATTGACGTGTCCGGTCGTGAATGGAACCTCTCTGGAAACGACCGGACTCAGCAGAGGTGTGTCTGGTTGTGGCACTGTGCTGCGTCCGGTCATCACTTAACTGTTGAGATCGGGCAATCAACCTTTGAAGCGAAGGATGACACGGCAGCCATCCGTTGACTAGACGCTGGCAGGGTGCGTCCGGTCGATCTGACCGGCGCATTGGGTCACCTTGACTTTTTAGGGAACTGAGAGCCAATGGCTCTATTCACAGGGGCTCTCTATTTAAGCCCCATTGCTGGCTCTTGCTCACTCTCTTGGCCATTTGCATTAACATAGCAACCTTGTGAGATTAGCCAAACCCCTCCCACTCATCTCCATCATTGATTCATCATCTTTATGAGATTGGGAGAGAATTCAAGTGCATTGCTTGAGTGTTTGCATCTAGAGGCACTTGGTGTTCGTGTTTCGCTGCAGGATTCGCTTGTTACTCTTGGTGGTTGCCACCACCTAGACGGCTTGGAGCAGTGAGGATTGTTGAGCGAAGGTTGGTGATTGTCTCCGACTCCGATCGTGGTGATTGTGAGGAGTTCTTGACCTTTTCCCAGCAGAGAGCCAAAAGGTACTCTAGTAAATTGCTCGTGGCTTGTGTGATCCTCATCTTATGTTGGTTGTGCGACACCCTATTGAGGGTTTGGTGTGTGATGCCAATTAGCGCGTGAACCTCCAAGTGAGTGAATCGCCACAACGAGGACTAGCTTGCCGGCAAGCAAGTGAACCTCGATAAAAAATCATTGTGTCATCATTTGATTCCGAGGTGATTGGTCTTCATTGGTATTCATTCTTATGATTGATTGGTTCATTCCTCTACTCGGCGATATAACCATCTTGCTCTCTCTTTACATTACCACAAACTAGTTGTCAAGCTCTTTAGTATAGCTAGTCGTGAGAGCTTGCTAGTTTGGTTAGTGTGGCTCTTTAGTTAGCCTTTGAGAGCACACTAACTTAGTGTAGTGACATAGCCATTGTGTGGATAGAGATTATATAAACTAGAATTGTGGTAGGTGGCTTGTATTTTTGGTAGGCTGGAGCATCACTCGCTTTGCCTCATGTTTGTCTAACCGGTTTGCTAAGTGTTGTTGTAGAAATTTTTAATAGGCTATTCACCCCCTCTAGCCATTAGGACCTTACAATGGGACATTATGCTTCATATCAACTCTATAACATTGCTCAATGGTGAGTTCTTCAGTCCTAGGTTTAACAGCAACCTGAAGCCAACTGTCCAAATACTGGTAGGCATCATAAATGCCATATAACTGAAGCTTGAGTATCTTAATGTTGATGCCAGAGTGGTTCCTTAGGATGTTGTCAATTATGTAGCTGAAATTCTCTTGAGATGCATTTGCATTTGAGCCTGTTGAGCTATGATCCAAATTCAAACTTGGGCCGAAGCAAAGCGGTCCATTAGCGTTAAGAGGGACTACACCATCTATTAGTTCAGTATTGCTAATAGACGAGGGTGTGGGGTTTTTCCTACATATATATACAGACGACCTCCCTCATAGGCATCATAGACTTGTATACGGGAAGGCCCCTAGGTTAGGGTATCCCCAAGTTGTAAATCTCCGACGTTTGTAACCTCACCTGATATAGTGAAGATTTGCTGGCCGGTGCCCGTGATTTTTTCCCTTCCACCTTGGGAGGGTTTTCCACGTTAAAATCTCGTGTCCCCTGTGTTTGATCTACTGTTCTTCGTCGTTTATATTGCCTATCATTTATAACAAGTGGTACCAGAGCTTGGTTTGACCTTAGGGTTTCGCAATGGCATCGATGAAGTTTGATCTACCGCTGCTGGATTACAAGACGAGATTTGCACTGTGGCAAGTCAAGATGCGGGCGATTCTGGCACAATCTTCGGATCTTGATGAGGCGCTGGATGATTTTGGAGGAAAAGGGCAGAAGTCATGGACCGCTGAAGAGAAGCGGAAGGATCATAAGGCTCTGTCTCTGATTCAACTTCATCTACATATTGATATTTTGCAAGAAGTGCTATAGGAGAAAACTGCCGCAGAACTTTGGCTCAAGCTAGAATCGATCTGCATGTCTAAGGATCTAATCAGTAAGATGCACGTGAAGATGAAGTTGTTCACGCATAAGCTACAAGAAGGTGGTTCGGTGATGAACCACTTATCGATCTTTAAGGAGATCGTTACCAACCTAGTGTCGATGGAGGTAAAATATGATGATGAAGATTTAGCTCTTCTACTGTTATGCTCACTGCTTACTTCGTTTGCAAATTTCCGAGATACCATACTATTAAGCCATGATGAACTAACCCTTGCGGAAGTATATAAGGTCCTCCAGATGAGGGAGAAGATGAAAGGTATGGTTCGGTCTGATGTGTCGTCCTCCAAGGGCGAAGTGTTGCAGGTTAGAGGCAGGCCCGAGCAGAAAACCTACAACAACAACAATAATCGAGACAAGAGCAAGAACGGTAAATGCCGTTCGAAGTCCAGAGGTAGGGATAAGTTCTACAGGTATTGTAAGAAAGATACTCATGTCATTGAGGATTGTTGGAAGCTACAGAATAAGGAGAAAAGAAACGGTATGTATAAACCAAAAAATAAATCCGATGGTGATGGTAAGGCCTCTGTTGTCTCCGCTGTTGATAATTCTGATTCAGGAGATGTTCTGGTTGTTTTTGCTGGTTGTGTTGCTGGTCGTGATAAATGGATACTTGATTGTGCATGCTCATTTCATATATGCTCTAACAAAGATTGGTTCAGTTCTTATGAGTCTGTGCAGAGTGGAGATGTCATGCGTATGGGAGATAACAACCCACGTGAGATTGTGGGCATTGGCTCTGTTCAGATCAAGATGCATGATGGCATGATACGCACACTGAAAGATGTGAGACACATACCAGGGATGGATAGAAATCTCATCTCCCTCAGCACACTTGATGCCGAGGGGATACAGACACTCCGGTTTAGGTGGAGTGTGTAAGGTATCAAAAGACTCTCTCATTTATATGATAGGTGATATGAACTCTGCAAAGTTATATGTTCTTAGAGGAAGTACTTTACATGGTTTCGTCACTGCTGCTGCTGTTTCTAATGATGAACCAAGTAAAACTAATCTTTGGCATATGCATCTTGGGCATATGAGTGAACTTGGTATGGCAGAATTGATCAACAGAGACCTACTGGATGGCTGCACTATGGGTAAGATGAAGTTCTATGAGCACTGTGTTTTTGGTAAGCACAAGAGGATAAAATTCAATGCATCTGTTCATACCACCAAAGGTACACTTGATTATGTACATGCTGATTTGTGGGGGCCCTCTCGTAAGCCCTCTTATGGTGGTGCTCGTTACATGCTTACCATTATTGATGATTACTCTAAAAAGTGTGGCCTTATTTTCTGAAAAGTAAAGATGATACTTTTGCTGCTTTTAAAGAGTGGAAAGTTATGATATAAAGGCAAACTAAAAAGAAGGTAAAATTGCTTCGTACTGATAATGGCGGTGAATTCTATTTGGATGCTTTTAATGATTACTACAGGGAAGAAGGCATTGTCAGGCACCACACCATCCCGTACACTCCACAACAGAATGGTGTGGCTAAGCCCATGAACCAAACCATCATCTCGAGGGCTCATTGCATGTTGTCCAATGCTCGTATGAGCAGACGTTTTTGGGCTGAGGCTGCTAACACCGCCTGTTACTTGATCAATCGGTCACCTTCTATCCCACTTAATAAGAAAACTCCCATTGAGATATGGTCTGGTATGTCTGCTGATTATTCACAGTTAAGAGTTTTTGGTTGCACTGCTTATGCTCATGTTGATAATGAAAAGCTAGAATCTAGAGCCATTAAGTATCTGTTTCTTGGTTATGGTTCTGGAGTTAAAGGATATAAGTTATGGAATCCTAAAACTAAAAAGACTTTCATGAGTAGGAGCATTGTTTTCAATGAATCTATTATGTTTAATGACAGCTTGTCCACAGATATTTCACCAGTTGGTTCTGATGAGGAGCAGGAACATGTTAGCGTGCAGGTGGTGCATGTAGATGATCAGAAAACTAAAATTGTTGATAACAATGTTCATGATATTGTTCATCACTCACCTCCTGTTTTGCAGCCTTAAAATCAGTCTATTGCAGATCGTAGAACAAAGAGGAGTTGTGGACCTTGTCCACGTTTAATTGAGGAATGTGATATTGTTCATTATGCCTTTAGTTGTGCTGAACATGTTGAGAACATTCATGAACCGACTATCTACACTGAAGCTGTTGTTTCTGGTGACCGTGAGAAGTGGATTTCCGCTATGCAAGAAGAGATGCAGTCACTTGAGAAAAATGGCATATGGGATGTTGTGCGCTTGCCTAAACACAAGAAGGCCGTTCGTTGCAAATGGATCTTCAAAATAAAGGAGGGTTTGTCTCCTAGTGAGCCTCCAAGATTTAAGGCAAGGTTAGTAGCAAAATGTTTTAGTCAGATTCCTGGCATTGATTATAATGATGTGTTCTCTCCAATTGTAAAGCATAGTTCAATTCGTACATTTTTCGGTATTGTTGCTATACGAGATCTTGAGCTTGAGCAGTTAGATGTAAAGACTACGTTTCTTCATGGAGAGCTAGAGGAGGAGATATATACATGGACCAACCAGAAGGGTTCATAGTACCTGGTAAGGAGGATCATATTTGCAAATTAAAGAGGTCCTTATATGGTTTAAAACAGTCTCCTCGTCAATGGTATAAAAGGTTTGATTCTTTTATGATGTCACATGGTTTTAAGAGGTATGAATTTGATAGCTGTGTATACATTAAATTTGTTGATGGATCACCTATATACTTGCTGTTATATGTTGATGATATGTTAATTGCTGCCAAGAGCAAGAAAGAAATCACTACATTGAAAAAACTGTTGAGTAGTGAGTTTGAGATGAAGGATCTTAGTGCTGCTAAGAAGATTCTAGGTATGGAGATTATAAGAGATAGAAATTCTAGTTTGTTATTTCTTAGTCAACAAAGTGACATTAAGAAAGTCCTTCATCGTTTCAACATGCATGATACAAAGTCTGTTAGTACTCCTATTGCTCCTCATTTAAAATTATCAGCTTTACAATGTGCTAGTACGGATGAGGATTTTGAGTACATGTCAAGAGTTCCATATTCTAGTGCTGTTGGTTTTTTGATGTATGCTATGGTTTGCTCTTGTCCTGATTTATCATATGCTATGAGTTTGGTTAGTAGATACATGACTAATCCTGGTAAAGAACATTAGAAGGCTGTTCAGCGGATTTTTAGGTACCTTCGTGGCACAACAAATGCCTGTTTGAAGTTTGGTAGGACTGATAAGGGACTCACTGGCTATGTGGATTCAAATTTTGCTGCTGATTTGGATAAGAGGAGATCTCTCACAGTTATGTATTTACTATTTGGTGGTTGTGCTGTAGTTGGAGGGCAACACTGCAGCCGTTGTTGCTCTGTCTACCACTAAAGCAGAATACATGGCTATTGCTGAAGCATGTAAAGAATCAGTTTAGTTAAAAGATTTGTTTGCTGAGCTTTGTGAGATAATTCTTGCATTAATTTATTTTGTGATAGTCAAAGTGCTATATGTCTCACTAAAGATCAGATGTTCCACGAGAGAACAAAACGCATTGATGTCAAATACCATTATGTTCGCGATGTGGTCGTGCAAGGTAAGCTGAATATATGCAAGATAAGCACTTATGATAATCCTGCTGATATGTTGACAAAGTCGGTTCCTGTTGCTAAGTTTAAGCTTTGCTCAAACTTAGTTGGTATAACTGTTTAGCTCAAGAGGCCATTTGGCACCGGAAGTATTTCTTTGTTGTTTCAGGGTGAAGGTTCGTTTTATGCTACAAGAAAGAATTTGTCTCAAGGTGGAGTTTGTTGAGATATGATCTAAATTCAAGCTTGGGCCGAAGCGAAGCGGCCCATTAATGTTAAGAGGGACTACACTATCTATTAGTTCCGTATTGCTAATAGACGAGGGTATGGGGATTTTTTCTCCCTATATATACGAATCACCTTCCTCATAGGCATCATAGACTTGTATACGGGAAGACCCCTAGGTTAGGGTATCCCTAAATTGTAAATCTCCGACGTTTGTAACCTCACCCGATATGGTGAAGATTTGCTGGCCCATGTCCGTGGTTTTTTTTCCTTCCACCTTGAAAGGGTTTTTCACATTAAAATCTCGTGTCCCCTATATTTGATTTACTGTTCTTCGTCATTTATATTGGCTATTGTTTATAACAGAGCCAAGGATATGCCAGTTAAAGGTTAGATGGATGACATCTCCAGAAACGTAGAAAACGCGTGACTCGTCTTTTAGTCTGTCAAAATTTACTGACTGCTCCCATAGTAACCCTATCTTGTCAGAGACAGGGGCCAATGCCCAATATCAGGCCCCGTTTAGATGCAACACAAAACCTAAATTTTTTAAGATCTGTCAAATTTGTACTGAAAAAACTGCTTACCCATAGTAATCTTTTAAGCCTATTGGACTTTTGCCAAATACAGAGACAGGGGCCAATGCCCAATATCAATGCAAGTTGATTGAGAAGCGAAAAAATCCCGGTGTAGGAAAACGGACGTGGGTCCCCCACCAGGCCACCAACCGGTGGTGCCGCAGCGCGGACGGCGATGGCCACAGGGAAAGATAGAAGTGGGTCATTTGGTCGTGACGCGGGAAGCTGCGCGGCAGCATGCCGCGAGCGCGCAGCGCCCTTGGCACCACGGCGCGCATGAGGGTGTGGTTGGTAGGCGACAATTTTGGCCAGGCCTTATCAGCTGTCTGTGCTGCTGGTTTGTGATCTCCCCACGAGGAAAACGAGGAACAAGAGTGTATCAGGTCAGAGTGTCAGACCGTCAGAGTGGTAGCGGCGGCCGCGATCTACAGGTACCTGGATGGATAGGGCGGAACGGCCAGCGTGCCAGCGTGTGTTTCTGGTTCCGGAAAGGAGTTAGGGATCAACGAACATGTGTGTGCTCCGTTCCCTATTCGAAAGTCTTCGCGACAGTCGTACACGTACCAAAGACCATCGGCCAACGACTGTTGAGCCGATAACATCGGTCTGGAGACGCTACCGATTCGTCCAAGTAAAAACCATCGGGAATTCTGGACTGAACTCTCCTCGCATAGAGAAATCAGTTTTTGCTGTTTACTTCATTGGTCGTTTCAAAGAGAATAGAAAATTTTCAGCTTCAAACAACTTCCACCGGCGCCACAGGATTTCACAGAGTGCATTAAACGCTGGTCACAAAGTGACCGAACTCTGGGGAGCAGCGTCCAGTCAATTATAAAAGAAGATGGTTGTTGGGGACCGAATACCGGGTGCCTGTGTGCTGATGATGCTGCGTCTTTACTTGATATGTAAGTGGTTACGTCCCGTCCCGCCCCTGCGGGCGGCGTGTCGGGTTGAGGTGTTGTCCCACGGCCCTGTGGGGAGCGGACGGTGCAGTGACCATTCGTTCATTACTGTAGAGGACGGGAATCCCCTCCTGGACTGTAGTGGTTGTCCCATGTTGATGTCTGGTTACTCACCCGAGGGTTGAAGGCGGCGCCTATAACACTGTAGGGCGAAAAGCATGCGCCCATAACACTATTCAGCCCCTGCCATGTCTGGAAGGGTCTAAATTGCCCGTCCCGTCGTATCCTGACAGTACTTTCCCGCAGTGGCGCAGGGCATGGTTCTCGATGCTGTGGTTGACCCAAACGTCTTATCTTACCCTGTGTTTGTCGTCACGAAGGAGCGGGGTGCCGTTGTCAGGTGAGACGGTGCCCAGGCCTTGGTCGTCGGGCGAGGTGGAGCCCGCCCTCGGGCGTCGGGCGAGGCGGAGTCTCGCTTTATCCGTCGGGCGAGGCGAAGCCTGACCCTGGTCGTCGGGTGAGGCGGGGCCCGCCCTTAGCCCTTGGGCTAGTCGGTCCCCGCCCTCAGCCCTCGGGCGAGGCGGAGACTAGCCCTCAGCCCTCGGGCCAGGCGGAGCCGGCCCCGAACATCGGGTGAGGCGGGGCCCGCCCTTAGCCCTCGGGCGAGGCGGTTCCCGCCCTCAGCCCTCGGGCGAGGCGGAGACTAGACCTTAGCCCTCGGGCGAGGCGGAGTCGGTCCTCAGCCGTCGGGTGAGTCGGAGCTGGCCCACAGGCGTCGGGAGAGTCGGAACCAAACCCCCGTCGTTTGGGAAAGAAGCGTAGTAGTGCTCGTCCGTCTAGGAGTGTTTGCCGTTCGATGGTTACTAGTTCTACCTCCTTGGGTACCCCGGTATTAGGTCCCCGACAGTAGTCCCCGAGCCCCCGGGTGATTTGAGTAGAATCGCCCGGGGGTAGTATCGGACCCTCGCACCTGTATTGCTCCGCCATCAAAATTCGCTGCTGCCTTCTTCCCCGAGCCTCTCCTGCCGTCGCAATGGCCCTGGGGTACAAATCCAACATCTCCCCTTAGCGCCTTGAGGGCCTCGTCCGCCGAGGCCTCCTTCGCCCGTTGACCGCCGCCGAAGAGTGGCGGCTGCCTGGTGAAGAGGATGAGCCGCAGCTACTCGAAGGGTACGTCGTGTCTTTTGCTCACTTCCATGAGCGGGGATTCGCCATGCCCGCCCATCCGTTCTTTCGGGGACTGCTGGACTACTATCAAATGGAGCTACAGCACCTTACCCCCAATGGGATCTAGCATATTACGGCGTTCATCGCCCTGTGCGAGGGCTTCTTGGGGATCAGTCCTCATTTTGATCTGTGGTGGTATCTCTTCGCCGTTAATCTTCTGAAGAGGCGGGTCGGGAAGCAGGAACTGCACACGCCGGTGGGGTGCGCCAGCATCCACCTCCGCAACAACTAGGCAGGAGCGTATCCGCTAATGCGTCTATCCACCTCTCACAAGGGGTGGCATTCGTAATGGTTCTATGTCAAGAATGACGCCGCCGCCCCCCTACCAGCTTTCACCGGGCTCTACATCATGGAGACCCCGGGGTCGTGGGGTGGGGGTGTCCCGGGTAAGGAAAAGAAATAGCTCAACAACCTTCTTGCCACCATCCAAACTCTGAAGGACAGGGGCATGGAGGGATCGGGATTATCGGCGCCTATCATGCGAGGAGGGTTACGCCACTGATGGCGCGCGTGCTTCCTCTGTATCAGATGGTGCCCGAAGCGTCGTTCAAAGGGATGGCGCTTGCCGACGAGGCGCTCCCTCCCTCCAAAGTGGCGCAGCGTATTAAGGAGGCGATGGAGCCTATGAAGGACTCCGTCGATGCCATCCTTGACTTCGTGTACCCGGTGCCGAGGCATCCCCCAATGCGGCCGGAACCGGGGTTTGTTCTAACCCCTTGCTCCTCTTTGTACTTGAATTTCTGACCCCCAGATGTTTAACCTCGGGGTGGCGGGACTAGCTGGGGGGCTATTTTTCAAGGATAGCCCGGCACCGCGGCCGAAGGACCCAGCCCAGGCGGACGAACCGCGCCATGACCGATTGGGATAAGAGGACGAGGGAGCTCACAAAGAAAAAGGTGATACGGAAGCAGCAAGCTCAAGATCGAGGAGAGGAGACAAGCAGTGAAGGTGATGACGACGACAACGAGTCTGAGGAGGGAACAGTCGGTGTGGATTGGGGTTACCTAGAGGACGAGGACCTGTTGTCCACGCAAGGACCCTTCCGGTTCCACGCGGGGGGAAGTGAGTCCACAAGGATGGTGGAGCCAGGCCCGTCCCTGGGTCCGGTGGGAGCCGGTGGATCCGCCGTCACCCCTAGGATGCCGGCCGGGGGACCGGTGGATGGGAGGGGACAGGGCCGCGGCCACCCCCGAGGTGCCGATGGAGGGGGATGGCTCTGATGTTGCGCCCCGTGAGTTGATGGAGAGGGACGGCTCTAGTGCCGCGCCCCGTGATCTGACGGAGGGGGGCGGTTCTGTCGCCGTGCCCCATGAGCCGATGGAGGGGAGCGGCCCTGCCGCCGCACCCTTGGAAACAAAAGAGACGAGCCCCCTGCCTCGGAGTAGGGGGCAGGCTCAAACGGCCTCGCCCACAGGAGTTGGAGCAGGGGTCCGGGGGTTTCCCTAAAACGTACCCGCCACCCAAAATCGCCCGAGTATGTCACTGATCCCCTTGGTTTTTCCCTTTTTATCTTTCTATCCCGACCTTATGCCTTTTCCCCTTTTGCAGATTCTTGTGACAGGGCACCCTCTAGGGCCGGCACCTAAGAAGAGCCTTGCCCTTCAGGCGGGACGGCTGGTGCTGCCCGACGTCACCCCTGTTTCGGGCAGGAGCGACGTTGTCGTTGCGGCCTCGTTGGCCGGTCCGGCGACGCCCGCACCCTCGATGGTTGCTGAGCAGGCGGCTGCAACCATAGCAAGCCAGGAGCAGCCGAACGTAGCTGTGGTGGTGTCCGAGGGGGTGCCGCAATCCACGCCTTTGGTAGCCCTAGTAACGGCGCTTGGCGCGGGCCGGGCAGAGTCGGATGTGGCCACGATGGCGTCCGAGGGAGTAGCGCAGTCCGTGCCGCCGAAGGTCCAGATGGAGGAGGCCACGACC